CACACCCGACAGCATCCTCGAAACACTCGCTGAAGCCAAGGCAACCTCTACCTCCACATCTTCCACCTCCCTAACAACAACCACCACCACCACCACCACGACGTCCAACCCGATGCAGACTCCCCGAACACCCACATCCTTCCTAAAACCCCTCATCATGGCCTTCCGCCTCAACGAAGCCCCCCTAATCCGCAAAGTCTACGAATCCATCCCACCCTCTGACATCCGCCTTATAACCGCCTCAATACCCACCATCTACCTCCCCCGCATGCTCCGCTTCGTCGCCAGCTGGGTAGACGAGACACCACATCTGGAATTTAACCTGCGCTGGATCGAGGCGCTGCTAAGTATCCACGGTCGATATTTCAAGGAACATGGCGGCGAGTTGGCAACGGAGTTGCGCGCCGTCAGCCGGGTGGTTGATGGGATTCGCGACGAAATTAAGCGGCTTGTCGAGGGGAATGGGTATGCGTTGGAGTATTTGCTTTCCAAGCCGGTTTTGAGTGGGAAGGCAGAGAAGGCTGTGGTGAATGGCGTGGTGGCGGTGGTGAAGGAGAATGGTGTAGATGGAGTTGCAGATATGAGTGATGTTGGTGATGGCGATGATGGAGAAGGGGAGTGGATGGGCTTGGATTAATTGAGAAGTGTTCTGGGCAATATTTTGTTTTCTTTTAAATTGATTATTGAATACCGTCCCATGAATATATTACATTATGTGATCTATATATCTCTCTTCATTTCTTTTATTTCCCCATGCATATGAGGCTGTTAATATTTCGTTTTTCTCTCTTTGGGTTCGGAGTTTACGGACTTGGGGAAAAGCATAGAGTTAGGAAAAAGTTGCATACTGGGAAAATAATGACCCACTGGAATATTCGACATGCAGTTGGAATGATTGATGACTCCGTATCGAGGAGTGTCCTCTTCATACGTAAATAGTACTGGCATCCAAGACACAATGGAAGGGGGGCATTCAAAGGCACATAGGACCAGAAGCGGATTAAAAGGGTTAATGAATAATTACTACAATATCTATTTACAAGCATTCTCTAAATGCAGCGCGGGATGAGAAGTTAGAACTATGCCAGACGTAGGTAGGACCAAGACAATGACCATAAAATTGTAACCATATATAACCATTACCATAATCGCGCTAACAGAAACCAGAATTGAAGTTTGAAATTTGAAATTTGGAGGGGAAAAGTGAATAAACGCCAGGGAAATACCAGATCCTGTACAAAGTAGAAAAACATGCAGAAGGCAAGCCTAAACTGACTAACGCGGAGCGTAGAGCGTAAACGGGCGAGTGTGTGCGAGAAGAGAACACCCAGAGTAATATATTTTCTCCCCCTCCTTAAATAAACAAGGCTCAATTTCTATTTCCTTCGATCATGTTCATCGTCATCGTTTACACGGGCACGTTTCGATCCACGCTCATTTGTGCCTTCAGCTTCTTGAATGCCGTAGCGCTTCTGCCCACCCGCCCCAGTAACTTCAGCAATCATCCCATCGATTCCAAATGGATCCGTGGTATCTTTTTCGAATTGGACGGGTCCATCTCGAGCCTATAAGGGACAAAGGTGTTAGTTATACAAATTGGTGGAAGTGAAAAGTAGTTCGGTGTTTAAACAAGGGGAGAAAAGGGTAGACATTGTTATGTTCCAGCTAAAAAAGATTGCCCGTATGGAAAGGGAGAGTCCAATATCTCACCTCTGCATCTGCTGCGCCCTTGAAGCCCTGCTTTGCGCGGCCCAGGACTTCAAAACGGTTATTGCGCTCGATCCGACTCATCTCCGCCCCCGCCGCCTCTTCATCATCAAAATCATCTCCCTGAGCTCGAGGACGATAAATGCTATTGATGGCATCCTGCGCAGCAAAAAGGGGTTTATCGTAGGGCTGATCTTCGTTGAATCCACTATCAAACCCGCTCGTCTGATTAAACAACCGGGAGTCATACATCGTCTCTTTACTCTGTGTTGGCTTTGCAAGACCAAGCGCGACTTTTTCTGAGATATCACGATTCTGTTCTCGTGCCATCATCTGGATACGCCGCTCAGCGCCCATGCGTGATTGGCGAAGCTGGCGTTCGTCTTCTTGTCTCTGTTGTCGACGCCGTCGTTCACGTTCTCGGACAGCTTCTTCATCTTCGCTGGGTGAGGCCGATCGGGATGAATATGGAGAGGAACTGCGGCTTCCCGTAATAGATCGGGATCGTGCTCTGGATTCTTGACGACTCGCCCCAGCTGACCTTGCTTCGCGTGCCTTTTGAGCCAGTTGACGAAGATGCTCTTCTTTCTGCGCCTTCTCTTTCTCTGCCAATTTCTGCTGCATTTGTGCCCGTTGCTTCACTTCTTCTCTAGCATGCCGGTCAGCTGTAAATAGGGCTTCTGCAAACTGTGCAAATTTATCATTGATAGAAACATCCTGTAACCCTCGTCCATCAGCAGCCAATCGCTTATCTAACGGGACTGTAAACCCTCTGGGGTTTTTCCAGTTCGAAACAGGTGGTGGAATTCTCCAAGCTTCCTGATCTTCCGCGGTAAGCTTCCTCGGGGGGGAGTGCATGACAGGTGGCGGAGGGGATGGAGGTCCTCGAGGAATCTTCTTGTGCTTGAATTTCGGAGGCTCCATAGGATCCACCTGCCTCTCCACAATTTTCATGATTCTATCATTCTTTTTGCTTGTATCGCCCATCCGATTTGCAGGTGTATATCTCACGAACGTAGGCTCATTTCTCTTCCCACCCTTGACGTTTTTGGGCTTCTGCGCTGTGACTGCGCCGGTCACTAGCTTTGCCAGAGCAGCTTTTGTCTTTTCCATTTGCTCTGCTACTTCTTCCTGTGATGGACGATCTAGTGATATTTCACCCATATCAACTCGCTGGCGGAGAGGTATTAGATCTTTGAATGAGGCGTGTACGGTCCGATTTTCCCCATGCCCTTGTTTCGCAATAGCATCATATTTAACTTTCCCTTCCGCGTCGACCTGTACCGCTAAAGCATTTGATTTCGACGAGGAACCTTTCCGGCCCATATCGAGGGGGTATTGCGCTACGGGGATTTCAGGAAACGCGCCGCCATTTGCAAAGTCTTCGGGGTTTCGAGGTCTCCATCCTGTACGTTTGCCATATGGAGGCGGGCCAGCTACCTATAGAGTCGAAAGAGGAAACATTAGTAACTACCAGACATTCATTTAAACAAATCGAAGAAGGGAAGATGTCTGCGTACTCTCAGGACAACTTGCGACTCGTTGACAGCACCAGGCCCCACGATTCGCGGACCCTTGGGCTGGGCATGTGGCGGTAGTTCTTCGTCTTCCCCTGTGTATTTTGGCTTTGGCAGGGACTTGAAGAGCCCCTGAGCAATAGAAGTAGCCATGCAGAACTGGCTGACAGAAAATAAAGCACGAGCTATTAGAGAGGAGGGGATGTCGTTGTTCGCAAAGGGTTGTGAGGGTATTTGGATGGCCAGTTTTAAGGATGTCGAGAGTTTTTTGACGCGATAAGATCTAGGATTATTAATAAACGCGTAAACTAAACCATAATTGGTCCATTAGCCGCTGATCAGACGCTTTAGACGCTCTATCCCAACCTTATTTACATATCAGTGCATATCGAAAACTCCTTCCGAACCTTGTACCTACGAAGCTATTACATTGTCATGCCAAAAGTTTGAAACTTTTTGACAAACTGAAGCACCAGCGATAAGTGTACAGCATAAGCTTCTTGAAGAACTTCAAGTCTGTGAAAAAGGTCAAACCTTTGGCAGGGCAATGTAACAAGTAGTTTCGAGAATATCTCCAAATAAATACACTCACATCCCCGTGAATAATACTGTGAGCATCCATGTTGACCCATACCCCTAGAAGACCAACAATCTTGAAGTGAGAATGCATAGCATTCCATCTTCGTTTAGTGCAACTACTATGTTATGGTGCTCTTCTTTTCCTCCATGTCCTGGTCCCATATCGCCATATCCCGTGGAAAACTTGGAAAAACAAAACTGGCAAGGGAATTCCGCTGTCCCACTCATAATTAGAAGCACTAAAGTTTGTTTGATAAACTTTCAGTTTATCATGCAGTTCAGGCCTTCCACCAATCCTTCAGCCTTGTTCCTACTGACAAACAGGGGAATCTCAATGGGGAGATTAGAATGTTTTTTGAAAGCTTATCAAAAGATGGGATAAAGCAAGGTAAAGTAAACAATTTAAAAAGGGTGGAAAAGGGAAAAATATTGTTTGGGGAGGTAAAATCGCTAGAGAAACAGGAGAAACTAAACAATACAAGAAATTAATTTCGTCGACGTCATTGGCAAAGGAAATGGAGAAAGGGACGAGAGGCAAAAGAGTGGTGACGGTGGGTCTGGGTACAGGAGTTTGAATCGAAATCAAAAACGAAAAACAAGTAGGTAAAAAGAGGAGAGTGAAATAAGGAACAAAAGAAAAATTGCATCGATTATCAGAATCAACCTAGCCCGTCCTGCGTGCCTTACGTATTCGCATTCGTCAAGCCCATACCCTCAGCGATGAAGGTAGAAGTTGAGAGAGAAAATCCAACGGTCGGATGGAACGGGTACATTGACTTTCAAATAACCGTCGTTTAATTGGGGACAAAAGAAGGAGAAATCGGAATTGGTTGGTAGAGGCAAGTTTCTCTTGTCTTTCCATGGGACTTGCTCCGTGACTATTGTCGGGTGGCCATGTTGACAGTGTGTTCAGTGCCATCGGTGGTAACGATGCCCCGTGCATATCGAATCCATGGGGATCACCAGAAAGGAACAACATAGTGAGGTAGAAAGAAATTCTTTTGCAGATAGGGTTGGGTAGCCTGCTGAATGTGTTCTGTGGTGGACGTCGACGTTCTACCTTAAAACCTCAGATACTAGAGGAGATCGGAATTACCAAAGAGACGAAAAGAACCATAAAATTTTACCCAACCAACATTCGCCCGCCAGCCGATATCAAAACACACACATCATTATCATCTTCCTCCCATTCCCCATTTATGACCCAAACTTGGCCAAAATTTCAAAATATGGAACCCCCTGGTTCGAGGTTCGCCACTGGCCGTGGAGCTTAGTGTGAATGTCAGTGGTAGTCCGTTGAGCCCAGGTCCCGTCGAGGTAACGCACCCACCAAGTCTGGCCGGTTGTGGGGTGGTAGGGAATCAGCTGGTATGGGACATTAGTTCCTTTGGCCTCTGCAGCGGTTTCCTTCTGTGCCTGGAGCTGCTGGGAGTTGGGCGCAAACCATACCTGCTGCTGTGGAGCAGCGGCGCCAGGGGCGGGCCATCCTACAAATTGTTGTGGTTGAGAGGTGACCACGGCAACTTGCTGCTGAGGCCAGGGTATGACTTGGGTGGGATTGACTGCGGTTTGTCCTTGCTGGTTAGGATGAATATGGGTTAGTTTGTGTTTGTATTTCGTTGGCAAAGGTGGGTTAAGAGAACGAGAGAAATGGAAAAAGGGCAATGCAGAGGATAAAACCAAAAACAGGGAAGAGGATGAAAACAAAAAGAAAAAAAGAGAGAGAGAAGAGAAGAGAAGAAACAGGGCAACAACAGGGACCACAACAGCCTGAATAGTTGCAGCAACGGGTGCTGCATCAGGGTTATTATTTCCTTGGCCTATGCTATGGTTCCCAATAACATTGCCAGGATAGGGGTTGGCAGCTTGAGCCGCAGCGTAGTTTGGATGGGCGGGATTCTGGAGAGGGATGTAGGTGTAGACGGTGGGCTGGGAAGGCTGCTGTTGCTGGGTTATGGCGGTGGTGAAATAGAACGCTGCCATCTCTGCAGGAGAGCGGTGATTCAGGGAGATTGAAAGGTAGAGAGGTAGAGACGATACGCAAGGGCGGCCAAGCAGCCGTATGTGGATGAGAAGCGGGGAAAGATTGGAGATGGTGATGAAAACAGATGACGAAGGGCTGATGGGAATAAGGTGAGACAATGGAGGTAGATGGAGTCAGGAAGTATGAAGTAAGGCAGACGAGTGGCGTGAAGCGACTTGGGTGAAGCGTATCGGAAGGGAAAGGACAAATAAAGAAAAGGAATAGGAGGCAAGAAAAAGAAGAGAGAGATGGAAGAGGAGACAGGACCACCAAACAAGTAACTGGAAGACCACGTATGCAGTGAAGGGTAGAATATACAAATATACCCCCTAATACAGAGTGAACGGAGTCCAATCGCTCTCAAGAAGAGGAGGATATATAATTACACTTACAGAAACAGGCACAAACTGGTCTCCGGGCTGCACCAGATAGAACTGCACGTTCTCATCTTTCTTATCCTCCTTCTCCTTCTCTTTCTCCTTCTCCCTCTTGGGACCCTCCATCATAAACGCCTTGTAGGGCGTACCCCAGCATAGGCACATCTTGGGCAATTTGCTGGAGGCGGTTAAGAAGAGTCGAGTTCTATATTGGCCGGAAACGGGTGGTATGGGAAGCTGAATAAAGAGTAGAAAGTTGAAAAATCAAGAGCAAGAAGAGGAGAGGAGAGGACCGATGAGAATGGGAAGGGGTTCCTTGTAGAAAGATGAAAATTGAGGACCAAGTGAGGGGAACGGGATAAAACGTTACAAGTCAGAGATTCGCTGAGAGCCCAGAGCTGTTTTTAGTTTGTGCTGAATATGGGATGGATGCGTACGAGGCAAACTTGCGGAAGTGATCAAGAGAGAGAACAGGATCTGTTAGGTGTGAAACACAAGAATTCTTATATCAGGATGCAATACTTCATGCGCCTATGTATGCAATTATGCTCTCTCACAGGAGAACCTAGGGACATGGATATTTTCCCTCGTACAGGCTTATTCCACCAAACCGTATGTCACAGTGAACATCAGCCCAGGGAGCTCCCAGTCCCCAGGGCATTTGTCAGACGACACTTTCCAACGTGCCAATTCCAAAGAGGTTTTACTCCAGAGTTATAATGCGGTGATGTCCAGAACACCCATAAGAATTACCTTCTTGCAAAACAAAAGGGCGGTATGAGAGCCCGCATTTGTTGGTCATTTCATCCACTGCTCTCGTTGCTGTTGTTGCTGTGAGACCTATAACGATGAGCTATATACCAACCCAACAAAGCAGCCAGAGAGAGCAATGGGCCAGGCCGTCATTGGACGAGCAAAGCGTAAAAAGGTCTTGACGTGTGATTGGATCTTGGATCCATTTTATAATTCTTCCAATTGCGAGTTTTAAGACTTTCGCGAAGGGAAAAACACATAACGATCTGGATAACATACCGCCTCTTCCTGATCTTCTGGGACGGCTAATGTCTGAAGAAAGTGTATGGTAAAAAAACAAAAGGCAAATGATGTATTAAAGACAAATAAAATTACCCTTGCATTTTTTATGGTGGCAGGGAAAACCTGAACGAGGTATATAATATGGCATAAAATATCATTGGGTTCCCCTGCTTTCGTTCTGAAAATAATGCAGCTATCAGAACGTGAGCATACCCGATGCATTCGTGCCGAGTGCACGAACAAAACACGCTTTTTTGCTTGTCAAAATTAGGTGTATATGGTCATTAAACGAGCAAAATAAAACCAAAACATTTAAAGTTCAGAAAGACATTTTTCTCCAAGAGCCAAGTGTGATATAGGACGACAGAGTGGAAAGCAAGGATGGAAAAGGCAAATATGTAACTTCGACGGTTGAAAGTCGTGTGAGGAGCTAAAAATTCAAACAAAGAAAATATATTACCAAATGCATCCGAGAGGCGAGGTAGAGGCGTGGCGGGTGATGGCAAATAATAACAATAACCAAAAAACCTAAATAAAATAAAATAAAATAAAATGCTCAGATCCTAAGTCGACTGAGGGGCACAACTACTCAAATCCCAGCCATTTGTATCCGAGAAGAAAGATGGAAAGAGGGGGAGTGGGAAAAAAAAAAAAGAAAAAAGAAAAAAAGAGAAAAAAGAAGAAAAAACCATTTTTCATGTTCAAGCATGTCAAAGGACTCTCGTTCATGTTGTACATGTATGGACAGTAGGAAGAATTGCACTAAGGGAAATCACTTGGTGACTCGTGGAACCTATCAAAAGAAGAAAAGCCTGTTGCCGCTTAGTGTTCAACTCGTTAACTAGAGGGCAGATACGGTATATGGGAATATGTGTCAGCAAATATTGTTACCGATAAAGAAAACAAGAAGGAAAAAAACAAAATAAAGAAAAATCGATCTCTATAATTCCTTCAGAGCAGGTGTGACTTCATCGGGCACGTTATCCCTTCAGAGTCCCAAGCTTCAACCATATGCTCCCTGCCGGAGAACTGATAGCGTACCCGCAGCAACTTGGGGCGGAATGGGAACGGGTCATAGAATCCAATGATTTGTGACTGCATGGGTTAATACATTAGTATTTTTGTTTATGAGATGGAAAAGAACATCGGATAACATCCAGACCTTAATGACTCGAGGCGATATAACCAACTGTCCTTGGTCAACCAACGCGGCAACCGGAATCGTGACGTCTATCATGCACTCGTCGTAGTCATCTATGACTGCCATAGGGCCAATCTGCTTCTTCTCCCTCGCGGAAGGAGACGGTGGACACCCATATTCAGCATGAACAATCACCAACCCATCTCGCTCAGCTTCTCGATCTTGCCTTCGCAAAACCTGATCTCTCATCATGGAAATCGCCTGTGCGCTTTCAGTCTTCCGCTTCAAAACCCTTTTTTGTAGTCGTTTTCTGAGTTTTGCGATATCTTGCTTTTCTCTCCGCCGCGCTCTAGGACGCAGATATCCAAACTCAATTGCTGAATAGACAGTGAACGGGACAATAACCGCCAATATACATAGGTCGCCGGTCAGTTGGTCCACTGGACACATAGCTATGGGCACCTTAAGTGTCTGTCCCAGTCTACTCCATGAGATGCTGCAACCAAGTCCCATATTGCCTATTGTGGAAATAGTTAATCCCATGCGGGTGAATCCGCCAACCATGCGCGTCCCAGAGGCTGACCAGCCCAAAGTGAGATCCTGGCCAATAACGGCACGCAACCCCAGCCGTACGGCGCCGCTGTCACTCCGGTTCTTGTTGGGGAAATATCCTTCACCACTCCACTCGGAGCGGAGAGGTTCAGGCGGTTTTCTCGCAAAGATTGTCCTGCCATATTGGAGGGTCAAGTTCATACCCATTGGCGACGAGGCAAGACTGAAACCCCAGGTTTCGTTGGGATTCACCTGCCGCCGATCTTGATTGGTGGGATCTTGAGTGTCAACTGAAAACATATCATCCTCATTACGATCGTTGTCATCGTCCTCCTCATTGAGGACAGTTGGCAGTTGCATTATCGGAAGGCTTGTGTATCCAATCGAAAAGCCACTCATCGAATACGGCATTAATGTTGCGGCATAGGGATCTTGCTTGGCTATATTACTCCACAAATCCTGGAGAAATCCGGGCCAGGACAAGGCTCCAGATACCCAGCTGCAAGTAACAACACCCCCAGCACCTATCATACGCGATAACGACAGACCTAGTTCTGGAGGACATTGCGTGGGAGCAGAAGTGAAGCTGGATTTCAAAGTGAGGGAGAACGGTTTCGTGCCTTCTATTGGGGTTATGGATTTACTGATACTTGCTTGAACGGCGAGCTGTGGGATTATGAAAGCATTGATGTTCATCACCGTCCCCCCGAGGAAGGATAATAGGGGTCTTCTGAGAACCCCTTGTTTTGGATCGTCGTTTAGGAAAGTGTGTACAAAAGATGCTCCAAGGTTAACGTTAGCGCTGCGCATCGTTAGAGGAACTTTGATCTACATCTGTTAGAAACAGCATTTCCAAACGAAGTAAAACATAGAAAAGGAAATCACCTACCCGCCTCTTGATAGATTCTCCAGTATCCTGATTCATAATTGTGACATCCTGGACAGGATTCCCGAACCGACCATTTATTGTAGCTTGTAGCTGCAATTTGCTCGTTTCGGATTTTTGTTGTGTAGGAGGTCTGTTATTCATAGATGGTTTGTCTGCATCTTCCTCTTCATCTCTATCTGTCACCGACTTTGATGTCCCGAACCAAGGCATACCAGGTAGTGGTATGGGGAGAACATATGAGAGTAGGAACCCCGACGGCTTGGGATTAGGCATGTGTATTAAGATGTCTCCGTTCGGTGTGGTCTGGAACATCGATTTCGCATCCAGCGACAGTTGGATTACGCCCTTGGTCGTGTCAGTACAGGATTAAAAATTTAGATAAGGGCGTAATAGGAGCAAGCCAGGTCTCGCAAAACGGAAAATGTGTTTGGACCCAGGTATACTCTCATATACCGGAACGAATTCAACATACGTTGACATCTACCAAGTCATTCAAAAACTTTCTCTCCTGTCGTTTCATGACCGCCAAGAACCAGCTACGGAATTCAGCTTCATCCATTGCTTTCACCCCCACTTGCTGTTTTGCAGCAAATCCGTTCCTCCCCATTAAGCCCCCTTCCGCCCATGTTTGCCGCACCCCTTCTTCGCCCAACATGTCATATACAGTTCGTTTCCTGGGGTCAATGAGGGTGTCGTATGCAGTGCGTATCTTGTTATAATACTGTGCAGCCGCGGCTCGCAGCTCTTCGGGTTGTTTGTCCGGGTGGAAGCTGAGGGTCAATGTTTTGTATGCTGAGCGGATTTGCGCCTCCGTAGGCGGAGGGTTCCGGGGTAAGGCAAGCAAGCTGTAGTAGTCCAGGTCTTCTGGGTAGTCTCTCAGTTCTTCGTAAACACCCTCAGAGCTATCTGAACCACCTACTCCTTCTCCACCACCTCCATTGTCTTGTTGGTATGTTCCTGACATGTTGGCCGTAGTGCCGGTTGGAGGCTCTAGAGACGGTGAAATGGAGCCATTGCGCGTATTTTGACCGTTGACTTTATGGAGCCGACTTGTCTCTGGCATTATCTTCAATTAAGGAACCCTTGAATCAAACTGGGATGACCTGGAAATTCATGGTTTATCCCGGCGCATAGGTTTAAAAAAAAAAAAAAAAAAAAAAAAAAAAAAAAAAAAATCAACTCCGGATGCTTGACTTTGTGAGGGTGAGTCGGGAGGAAAATGAAGTCCCCGGATTTAAGATAACCCGCCGCAAAGGGGAACGTCACAATAACCACCCTTGAAGATGGTAACGAACATACAGTTTTAACTGCTCTGATTCGATGTGAATAAATTGCAGTCTACTAACTAACGGACCGTGTATGACTATAATGTGCCTTGGACTAAAATATTCAGATTCAACCTTGGAACTCCTCTAATGCATTCGTGATACCGAAATACTGGTGGCTGCAATTTGGTGGCTTGGTCCTCGCTGAAGGCGGCAAGCCTACTTAGTGGAGTTTGTGTTTAACAACATGTTACCATCTTCTGTTACTAGCATCCAAGAAAAA